TGTGTTAGTTGAATAGAAATAATATAATTGAAATTCATCATTATAACATCACGTCTTTCATCCCCGAACGGGTAGGTAGAAGTGCACATTACGGCACTTAATGCCACTGTACAATGTAGAACCCAGTTTTCACTATTTATATTACGACTAATGAGTCCCATGTAAAAGGGGGTGAGCCTAATGCCATATACCGGACACAATTGTAGACTCATGCAATTTCGAAGTGTTTTAACAAAAAATATTTGGTTTATTTGTGTGATAACTGTTTTTTTTTATAGCACAGGTGTTTAGCATTATATTTAATAGATACATATTTAATGTTCAGTTTAATAAAGAACATGTAGAAATGCAATACTTTGTGACCCTTACGTAATTCGAGATAAATTTAATGTCAATTTGGCAACTTTGGACTCCACCTTACCAGTCGGATGCAGTCGTATCGCGAAAGTACTGTTTTTTTAAAGGAATTTTAATTACTTATCGCATAATGTTAAATGTTAAATATAAATCTTTTTAATTATATAATTACTAAAATGTGTGTAAAATGTTAAATTTTTTTTTTTTAATGGGGAAAAATCATCCCATGCCTTCTCCCGCCCGTCGGTGAGGTGGGAGAGAGTGTCAGACTCTTACGGACTAAAAACCACCCCGTTGTTACTCCTGCACTTCGAGCCGGAGCCCCGGCAACCCCCGCGGCACTTGCCCTGCAAACGGACTTGCGACCTTTTTAAACATATACATACTTCTATTAGATACTTCACATGTACATACTAAGTATATCCAACATCTGCCGCTATCATGCGCGTAAAATATGTGCGACTCAGACCTCCATACTATATATCTTGCAAGGCGACGACATTTCCTAAGATTTACGTTATTTTACGCATGCAAGTGAATACTCCCTTGTTCGCCAAGTTCTTGGGTTTGATTACGTGGGCAGGAAAAGCGTTTGATGTAGTTTTTATTGCTACTGATTTAATTGTGTCATTAGATTTATTACATAAGGCAGTGTATGAAATAAGTTCACTATCCATACTGTATGTGCGTTTACTTTTTCGAAAAATTAATAGAAATAATAACACTAAAATTAAAATCTGCCCCAAAGTACTTTCAACTCTAGACTAAACTAATACATAATAAGAATTTGACAACAAATGTCCCCATTATTATTTTCTTTAAATTCAATATAAACAAAATTCGGGGAACCAAAATTTTATCAACGTTAAAACAATCAAATTAGCATAACATCACGCCTTTTATCCCCGAAGGGGTAGGCAGAAGTGCACACAGAAGTAACACCCACTTTTCACTATTTATGTTATGAGTCCCATGTAATAGGGGGTGAGCCTATTGCCATATACCGGGCACATTTCCAGACTCCGTGCTACTACTGAGACTTTTTAAAACCCAGTAATACTTTGCCCGACCCGGGGGAATCGAACCCGATACCCCTTGCCATGCAATCGCACTTGCGACCAGTCGGCCAACGAGGCAGTCTAAATAATCAAATAGAGACACAATAACAAATTTCCAGGATTAGCACGTCTATAGTTGCCTATTTCCCTCTAATTCCAACTTAATACCAGTTTGATTGATCGACCACAGTCCACAGCCCGTCCAACAGTGGCCATTGTACCACAAACTAGTCACATTTAAACCCACCTCACTACCTCTACAATAGCAAACAAGTTATTATTACTATGAACCCAGTGGTTCCGAACCTGTGGTCCGCAGAAGATTAAACATGGTCAAAGAAATTTAAAAAAGAAAATACACAAAACAATAACACCTCTGTCCCCTAAATACTAGCGTTAAAACTCTGATTGTAATCATCCGAAAGTCACTATTTTTATGAAAATGAACCGAAAATCCGAAAAAAGTCTTAGTGCGTGAGACAACATTTTTTTTGACCACAGATGGATTTTCTTTTGTGTCGTGGTTGCGTTTACAAACATACAAGTTCACATACACATGAAATAAGTAACAGTTATTAAGGTTCATAACGTTACAAAGATAATATAAAAGTGGTTGACGAAGAAAAGGTTGAGAACGCCTGATCTAACCCCCTTCATAGTTACAAGATCTAAGTCTACCCAGGCATTTAATATTCTCACTACAGTTTGCCCTGCAACTTAGTCCCCCAATTCGCCCCAAAATCACGTTTTGGGGCGAATCGGGGGACAAAAACACAATAAGTCTTAAATGTATTGAAACTTTGCAAAATAAAAGAAAGGAGATGAAAGAAAATAATTAGGAAAACAAAACAATAGGAGCACTTTATTTTACTCCTAAACTCTTTTTTACTTTATTTTAGTAATAATTGTAATGGTATAGACAATGAAACGACGACGAGATTGTAATCTCTTTGATTGGGCGGGAAAATAATTGATCGCTGAAAAAGGACAAAATTAATTATACCTTCAGATTTACCCACCTACAGTCAATTTTCGGATATAATCCATTTGTTGTAGGGTTGACAATTGAAACAAGATATATTATTTTTAATGAATAGTATCTTAGGACATAACTCTTTTTGTTTTAATTTTCCAAAATAAAAGTAGCGTATTTTGTACATACGACATACGACTTAAAGTTCATATTTAAATGACAAGTTCTTTGCTGGGTTGGAGCCGTACCGAAGCCGTACTCGATAGGTTAGTCTGCAAAAGCATGAAGACAGTAGTAGTATAAAAAGAATAATAAAACCTTATTTAAAAAAAAATAGATCATAGTGCTTATACGCATGATTCTTTCTAACTGAACTGCTCAAAATTCAATTTAACTACCAAATAAATCTCCAACCGAATAAATAATTACTCAGTTTTGATACTCACCCTAAAAAATATTAGCAAAAAATCCTCATCAAAGGTGCTGATGGACGTGACAACCCTACATTACTTACACAGAGAACCTATTACACTTGATCGTCGATAACGGCAAAATTAAAAATGTTTGCTTCTGGCATATTTATTCGAAACCCATTAACTGGTACTGCTGAGGCTGGAGTCGATAATCCGACAAGCGAGTGTGAATATGTGGAGGGAGCTGACATGTGTTGCGTACGTACTTACGTGTCATCGTCCTTTTGTCAGTCATCATCAACAGCCTATAAATGCCCACTGCTGAGCAAAGCCTCTTCTCACACGGAGAAGGTTTGAGCATTAATCACCACGCTTGCTCAATGCGGGTTGGTGATTTTAAACTTATAATTAGAAATTATAAGCCTAGGTGCCCTCGCTTTATCAGTGGTGTCTGAATAATCTTAGAAAGTACATTATAACTAACTCGGAAAAAGTCACATTGGTACTTGCCGTTGGTAGGTTAACCCGCACCCTCATGCATGAGAAGTGGGCGTCTTAAACCTCCGGGCCACCGCGACACCTTTCCTTTTGTCAGTGATAGAGGTTGATAGAGATGTCATTAATGAGGACCTTTTTAAAATAGTTCGTAGACACTGGCTAGAAATCCTGTCTGGTGCGTAGCGATGGCTTAGAATAATACACGCCTGTCCGTTTGCAACCAACTCACTCGGAGACACCAAATCGTATCGGGCTCTGGCGATACCTACTTGATGGCAAAAAGCGATTCTAAATTAAAGAACAAAAAATTAAATCATCAAACTAAAACTTAACTAGAAACAGCCAAACGGGGTTTTTTATTTTATATTTTTCGTAATTCTCAGTGGCTACACGAAGTGAGCCAGTGGTAGGTATAATACCACATAACATAACATCACGCCTTTTATCCCCGAAGGGGTAGGCCAAGGTGCACATTATACGACTGTACAATATAACACCAATTTTCACTATTTATGTTATGAGTCCCATGTAATAGGGGTGAGCCTATTGCTATATACCCGGCACATTTCCAGACTCCGTGTTACTACTGTGATTTTTTAAAAAACTCATTAAAACTTTGCCCGACCCGGGAATCGAACCCGAAACCCCTTGCCCAGCAGTTGCACTTGCGACCACTCGGCCAACGAGGCAGTCATAACGAGGTATAATATCATAACTGATAAATGAATGTGGGATTGCGAACCTACCAATAGCAAGTAGCAATGTTACTTTTTCCGAGTTATAAGTACTTTCTAAGATTATTTAGACACCACTGACAAACGGTGAAGGAAAACATCGTGAGGACACCCGGACTTATGATATTTCTAATTTTTAGTTTCAAATCGCCAACCTGCATTAAGCAAGCGTGGTGATTAATACTCAAACCTTCTTCGTGTGACACGAGGATTTGCTCAGCAGTGGGCATTTATAGGCTGTCAAACTCAAACCCGGGCTTATGATTTCTAATTTTATTATAAGTTTGAAATCGCCAACTGCAATGAGCAATGCCAATTGCTATGATTCCTACATACATCTTTCGCTTCATCAACAGTCATGAATCTTTTCATGCATGCTCGGCGGGTGTTATTATGACTGCCTTGTTGGCGCAGTGGTCGCTAGTGTGACTGCCGGGCAAAGGATCTCGGGTTCGATTCCCGGGTTTTATAAAATTCTCAGTAATAGGACGGAGTCTAGAATTGTGGCCGGTATATGGCATTAGGCTCACCCCCTATTACATGGAACTAATAACTTAAATAGTTAAAAGTGGGTGTTACGTTGTAGTGGCATTACGTCCGTAAAGTGCACCTCTGCCTACCCCTTCGGGGGTAAAACACGTAATATTATGTCACGTAGTTATTATGTAGCTTGTGTTCGATTTTTGTTAACATATCTAACAATTTTAGTAGAACAACACAACTGGTGAAACCTTACCACGAATTAGTTAACTACAACACAATAACCAGGATAACTTTGACTGCACAGTTGGCGCAGTGGCTAGGCAACTGGCTGCCGCGCAACGTACAGCGGATTCGATTCCCGCACGACGCAACTCTTTTTGTGAACCACAAATTGTTGTTTAGGGTATGTGAACTTGTATATTTGTAAACGCACCCACGACACAGGAGAAAATGCTAGTATGAGGCAACAAATAAAACACAAGAGAAAGATAAAGTGCTTTTTATTAAATACAGAATTTATACATACTCCGCCGAATACAAAAACATCAACAATAATGATCGGATGAAATTAAAATCTCAAGTACCTATGAGCGACTAGCCTACAGCAATGAAGCTTCAACATTAGACATGGTACATAATTGACTTACTAGTGACAACAAAGGCAGTGAATCGTGCGTGAAATAAAAAAAATCTAATAGAGTATTTAACAATATCAGTCCTTACTTAATATCTAAAGGGCCTAAGAAAGATTGAAACTTGGACTATTTCGCGATCTATTTTGAATCTAATGAATAATAAATAAGGTAACTTATTGAGGTTGTTCCACAGGCCAGCGATGTGTTTGACACCGGTGCCCTGTGTGCCAACGTACTTTAGAGTTCAATTCAATTAAGGCCGTTTGCACACCGACGACTTGTAACTCTGCGATTAGTCGTAGGTACTCTTACGTTCCTAAAACATGAAACTACATTTTTGTCTAATTTTAGGTCAAGCTGTAATTTAGTAATTATCGCTTCATTGAATTAAAACACTTGATGTTTCTTGTTATTATCACCAAATGCATTATTTAGATATCGTAATCGCTTCTATTATCGATAACCAGCAACAAGATAAGTTGAAGGTCTTTATGAACAATTTAGTATTGTTTAATCCTCGGCTATTTATTTTTAATATTCGCCGTTTCTACACTTTTTAAGTGCATCTATAAATAAATATTATGTGAAATTTTATCGGTATTCCTAACTCTACATAAACCTACTGTGATGATAGTCTGATAGACATGAAATGATACTAAAACTTCACAGATAATACGCCCAAGAAACTACATCATACGCAATAATTTTAGACTTGCACAAAATTAGGATCCAGCTTTCACAAGTCTAAGTTGTAAAAAGACTTGTCGCAAGTCTAGTCGCGATAGTTAAAGTCGTCGGTGTGCGTCCGTCCTAGTTTGAGAGATGACTACACAGCGTTGCCCGCACTATGAACATTGCCGTTCACACTCAGTGGAATGGTGTTGAACTCATCTTCGACATCATCGCCTTCTTTCCTGCGAAAAAAAAAGAAAAAAGGTTAGTATTTTCGATTTTTACGTAGTTTTAATACTGCTGCTGCTGAAGGGATCGGGTTGATATTCGAACAGGGATACATTAAGGTCTGAAATAATACATGGGCTATTTTTTATCTTATGGGAACGCGGAAATAATATTTTTTAGTTTTTAGGATTTTTTTGTTTGTCTATATGTACAAAAAGTACTGTATATAGATTTACTTCAAATTTTGCATGAATATTACAAACAGGTCAGGTCAACATATAGGCTACATATAATCACGCTATCACCTACGGGAGAGGAGCTGTGAAGAACTATCTAAAGTCGCTATTCCACGCGAACAAAGTCGCGGGCATCTACCAGTAAAACAATAACAATCAACGTTTATTTAATACGTAATGATAATAAAAATATTTTTTTTTTAATACCACCAGTATTACCTATTACGCAATGTTTTTGTTTGTTCATTCCAAGTTTTTTTTTTTATTGTAAGTACATGGCCAGTCAAAAATATGAAATTGAGTTATACTTATTTAAAACCCAAATATATTCAGATTTTTATTCGTAAACCATATTTTGTGTTGCAGTTGTACTCGTTAGGACTATATAAAATCAAGTCGTTTTTAAAATCTGACTACGAAAAATATTTTTGTTTATTTTTCGGCCCGTACGTTTGTTTGTATTCATGAAATCTTTAACGTTCGTAATTTTATGTTAATTTATTTATATATAATATTATTTTTTGATATTCACTCATTTTGATCAAAAATTTTTTGATGAAAATCAATATAAAATTTATCTACCATCTTAATAACCTGAAAATCGCGGGTTACTCACGTGAATATACTGAGAAAAGCTCTACTAGTTTCGAACCACAGAGGGGTTCCTCCTCATAAGCAGCGCGCGCGGTCGCGGCGATATCGCGTCTATTCACGTGTATTCACGTGATCTCAGTATATTCACGTGAGTAACCCGCGATTTTTAGTTAATTTAAGTATGTCTCACGATAGTTATTATAAAAATCTACTATTTTGTTCTACGTAATCACAGAAAGAAATACCTCTATTATACAAGTAACTGAAGTAGGTTTAGAAAACTCCCTAAATAGAATTCATTACCTAATTATTTTGCCCAATTGTTATGTAAATAACTTAAACCCTTATTCAAACTTGAGAAACAAGGATCCTTTACTTAATCTCAAATCGGGATAAACATTTAGGAGACTAGATCAACGAAGAAAACTTTCTGAATACTGAATTTCAGTCGTAAAGAAGTATTTAGAAAGGCTGATTAGGAAGATCCCTGAGACTGTCACTTTCATTAGTTAGATTGTTTATGTTTTAGTTTTCTTTTATATCTAGATTTCCTAGTTCAAAGATTGGTGAGTTTAAGTTTCCGTGAGTTTTCTCGAATACTATTTTTTTAAGTTTTAAGTTCCATTATAGGAATAGTAGTCGCTAAGTTACAGACACAATCCTGTATTAAGAGCTATTCAAATCAATAAATTTTTATCAAATCTCATAATCAAACCATTTATTACAATATTTTGTTAATTAGTTTTATTTGTGGATTTCTTTCTATTTGATTCGGTCAATGGTGGATAAGAGGGAAATTACGGAAACCTTTATAAAGTTATTTCGATGTATTGTACGAATACTCCCTAAATCGAAAAAAATGCAGCCATTCTTTAAGTTAGGAAATTCCCTAAAGTTATGGGTAGTTAAAATGTTTCTAAGATAAGTAGTTTATCGTCAAGACGCGTTTGAAAACATCGCGCTCGGGCGGCTTTAACCCTCTTAATATTTGAATGTGAAATGTAATTATTTAAAAACTATAATATTTACTCAACATACCTACTATGATTGGTTTTTATAAAACTGATTTATCTATTTACAACTCCAAAAAGCCAAAAAACTATCATCAAAAATTCGTAGCCGGTTCTTATTTAAAATAGCTACATTATAGATCTTACTTCACTCTCAGCCTTCAGAACTACTAAGTGTACTGAGTTCTAGCTATCTACAATACATAATATGTCGAAATACTTAAACGCCACTCGATTTTAAGTCGTGCTTAAGGAACCATGTAAGTGGTCGTATACACAAAAATGTGCGAGCTGTCTCTACGCATCGCAAGAACTTGCGAATTGATTCGCATCGCACATCAAAATCTTATCTTCCCAAAATCGTCTGTTTCTTTTTCCTGTATCTCCTAAACAATAACAGAAGTGCACTTCTTTTTACGATCCATGTCACTACTTAGTTTTCAAATTAAAATACGTTTAGTACGGATGACGGTCGTCGAAGGAATGGTCACCCTGGGAGACGCCTGGTCGCACGAAATCGCATCGCAGCAATTCGCATCGTAATTTTTTGAGTAGCGAATCGTTGTCGCATCGCATCGTAGTTTTGTGTACGAGCCCTAAGCGCGACTTCTATTGCTACAAATTCTTTGTCAAATGACAGATATGGCGCAATATGTAAGTACAACTTTAAATTCAGTAGCGTTTCAGTATTCGGGCGATAGACTCGTAAATCTTGCCTTAAAATAAAATCTTCATCTTAAGTCCAAGTTAAAAATTCTCTACATATATCTTGCAATGTTTATTATAGTACTGTGTCATATTTTGTATATCCCCAATGTTTTCAAAAGCCAATAGGTCCAGCCACTAGAAGCATTTGCCGTAGCCTGCTGTGCCGTTATTCTAGAGAAAAAAATAAATAATTTTATTAAAATAAAAAAAAATACTACTACTCTAGAAACTTTTTAAAAATTAAAAAAATATTTCATAAAAGTAGACGTATTTAAAATCGTTTCTCATTTCTATTTATATTATTGAGAGACTATTTTACATTTCATTATTTTTACTTGTTATGTACGAGTTACAATCAGTGGTGGATGTGCTCCATAAATAGTTAAATTATGAGTGAGTTCAATACCTCACACTAGACTAAATCTCAGACTCCGTACTGTATCATTAGGGGGAAGTCTCGTAACGCCGGACGGCACCTAACGCCAGACACTTGGATTATCTCGACAACTGATAACAAGAGCGATTCAATTTTTACTAAAAATCTTAGTTGTCTGCCACTGGGAGACTTCCCACTAAAAATTGAATCGCTCGCGTTATTAGTTATCGAGATATGTCCGGCGTTAGGTGCCGTCCGGTGTTAAGAGACTTCCCCCTAACTCTTGGAGCGCCTCGACAGTCACCAGTGCATGACGCTAATGGAGGTTTGACTTTAACCATTTTAAATTTGGCAGTTCATTCGAAAAAATCTCAATTAGTACTTTTCCCACTCAATCAAATAGGGGATTCTCTGTTTGACAGTCATACTTGTGACAACACACCAAACGAGGCGGGAGTTTTTCTTTTCCAAAAGTACGAGACTGTAAAGGACAATGATCGAAGTCTTCGAATTTTCGATAATGTTATGCGCTACTTATAATTTCAGATAAATTTCGTTTGCACAGGATTTATTTGCCAAAAAATCGGAGCTGTCCTTTTTTTAGTCTTCTCCACAGTAAGTTTACCCTAAACATTTGTACGATAAACGGTAGCTCGTCGGTTGTCAAATCAACGCTAATGGACCGACTTCCCGTCACCCGCAAGCCAACTCGTGCGCACGACTGGACAATTACGCTTCACATGTATGTGTATAGGTAGCGACCGTTAGAAGTCAATGGGATAGAATATTACAAAGATTTTTTATTGGATATATTGTGTTTTTCTGGGACAAAAAAGACATAACTACGTGCAGCTAAACCTGAAAAAACACATGGATGTCACAAAAAATTGTCGTATGAAGAAATTGGACGCACGACTGTGAAAAATCATGTTTGCCAATTGTATTTTTTTTTTATTTAAAAATAAACACTGCCCCACACTAGGATTATCTCCTGTGTCGTGGGTGCGATTACAAACATACAAGTTGACATACACATGACACCCAGACCAGAAACAACAATTTGTGGGTCACACAAAGTGTTGTTCCGTGCGGGAATCGAACCCGCGATACGTTAATAATGTATCAGGAATCGAATTAAACGCGTTGGTATCGACTCCTAAGTTAAGTACGAGCATATTTTCTTTGACTGTTTCATTTTAAGGAGAACCTAATGGAATAGGGTAGATACTAATTTTTATTTTAATGTCCGTCTGGTAGATTATTTAAAAATATTAGACACGTATTTTTTTTTTACGGAAACAAATAGTTTTGAAGATATATTGATTTGAAATGTTGCGTGACGTCACTTCTATGTATATTTTATACGTAGAAATGACGTTTTAGCCGCTACTTCTAAACTTTGATTCTTTATGTCTAAGTATCATTTTATTATACAACAAAATAAAAAAAATATTGTCTAATATTTTTTTCATTACCTAACTGACGGACTAATTACATTTTTAATTTTTATACCCTGTCATCATCCCTATTATAGAACTAAGACTAAAATTCAACACATGGCTGTGAAAAATCATGTCTGCCAAATCGTAATTTTAGTATTGAAGTTAATGTTCCTAGTAATGTATCAGGAATCGAATTAAACGCGTTGGTATCGATTCCTGGCCTAAGTAAGAACACATTCTCTTTGACTGTCGAATGAACGAATGACTGTTGATCGAATTAGATTTAAGTTGACTCTACTGGAAATAGTAAAATCAGACATAATTAACCTTAGTTATTTTATTAGAAACATTATTCAAGTTGTAAACCTTTTCATAATATTTAATATATTTTGAGGTCTTCGACCGAGACAGGCATTGGAACGCCTACACGCGATCGTTTCATACAATCGATTTTATTACATCAGTTGTGTGCCAAGGACTATATCATTTAGCTGTTATGTAAAAAGGTTTAAGAGTTCTCGTGTCTAATGGTTTACTGGTGTAAGATATTATACAGGCTTAAATGGAAAAACATCAAATTATTAGGATGAAAATTAGTTCTTCAATTCCGATCAACCATTTACTTAATTCCATTAAGTTTTAAATAGAATATTGCCAAAAATTTGCTTCTGGGGCTAATAAATAGGTTGTTTATTCACATAACATAATATCATGACTTTTTATCCCCGAATAGGTAGGCAGAGTGCACACTAAGACACTTAATGCCACTGCACAATGTAACACCCACTTTTTTACTATTTATGTTATGAGTCCCATGTAATAGGGGTGTATATTACCATATACCGGGTACAATTCCAGAATCCGTGCTACTAATGAGGTTTTTTTAAAACCCAGTAATACCTTGTTCGACCTGGGAATCGAACCCGAGACCCCTTGTCTGGCAGTCGCACTTGCGACTGCTCGGCTAATGAGACAGGTCGTTTATTAAGTATTTTATGTATTTCGAAATCACAATTTTTTTAAGTTTTCAAGGACCTCAAATTAAACTACAAACTATGTAATAAATAAATATATGTTATATGTTACACTCACCTTTTCCTGTACTTGTATATGATGAGTACGATTAATGCGTTGCCGACGAACAGCGCAGCTATGAGTAGCGATGGTATGACTATGTCTGAAAATAAAGATACAGTTTAGTTTTCTAGAATAAAGAAAAATATACAAGGTGTTGTTTTAAAGCCGCGTCATTTTCTAGAAGGTAACTCGGCTATCGATTCTGGGTCCGAATCAATAAAAATATTTTTCATTTTTTCTCTAATTTACGGAAATCTGTAAGTGCGAACTACACGCCGCCGTCTTGTAACTAGCTTTATAACGCGGCTTAAAACACACAAACTCAAACACGTAATTAATATTATTCCTAATTCCATAAAACTCAAAGTCAAAGTCAAAATCATTTATTTCAATTAGGCCAGAATGGCACTTTTGAACGTCAAAAAAATATTAAAAGTGAAGCTATTTGCTTACTGTCGAACTTAAACGATTTATTATAGCCGTAGTTTTAACTATTGGCCCGAAACTTTCTCTTACATTGAACCTTTATGACTTCTATGACATGCCCCCGAGAAATGCCACGGTTTGAAACCGTGTATATCAAAAACTACACCTTGTATATCAAAAAAATATAGTTTTGGTAGTCAATATCAGATACCGACCAAGTCAGTTCTTAAATAAAGAGGGGTGTTATAGGACATTTGATAAATCTGTTCTATAAATTTCTATTTAAGATGCAAGATTATATTTCACACAAACAAGGAATGAGCATTGATCACCCAATGTTACAAAACTCCCTCCGTATTTACATAACATAACATAACATAACATCACGCCTATTATCCCCGAAGAGGTAAGCAAAGGTGCACACAGAAGTAACACCCACTTTTCACTATTTATGTTATGAGTTCCATGTAATACGGGGTGAGCCTATTGCTATACACCGGACACATTTCCAGACTCCGTGCTACTACTGAGATTTTTTTTAAAACTCAGTAGAACTTTGCCCGACCCGGGAATCGAACCCGAGACCCCTTGCCCAGCAGTTGCACTTGCGACCATTCGGCCAACGAGGCAGTCATTTATAATTTATAGTCAGGGTATTTATAAAAATAAAAAAACAAAATTTGGAAACCACAACACCAACCACAGAGATTCTGACAATCTCTTTTACCGAAATCGAAAATAACATTACAGATACCTACTGAGTAAATATCCTGTTGACAAAGATAAAGAATTCAACAACAAAAGAATCGAAAGATTGATAAAGAAAGCCAAAGAAACTGACAAAACCATTTTCCCTTTACCCGTCATTATGTATCCTCAATGACTCGAAAATGTACCTACATATACGATTTTATTTTGTCAAATTGCCATCGTCAATGCCTAACGATTTTGTTCCCTCAACAAATTATTTGGCAATATTTTTAGACCGTACCAAAACGGTGGGCTATGGGACCCTATTAGCAGAGGTCCCTTCTATCAATCCGTCGACAGGTTTCCGATGTAATTTCGGAAAGATTTTTGTAGATAAACTGCTGCTTTTTCCACAATTAGACTAATAAATTGAGGCATAACATAACATCACGCTTTTTATCCCCGAAGGGGTACGGAAAGGTGCACATTAAACCACTGTACAATGTAACACCCACTTTTCACTATTTATATTATGAGTCCCATGTAATAGGGGGTGAGCCTATTGCCATATACCGGGCAGAATTCCAGACTCCGTGCTACTACATTTCTCATTTGCCTGGCAGTCGCACTTGCGACCACTCGGCAAATGAGGCAGTCAATTGAGACACTAAGTATATTTTTAAATACTATTATTTTTGCTGTCCAATAATTATGATTGGCGTCATGTAAATCAGCTACGGTTTGAGACAATGTTGCTTTTGGAAACAGCAAATCCAACTAAATTATAGAATCAGCAATCAACTAACAACGTCGTTTAGATAAATCTACCCAGTAATGATACAAATACTAAAAAAGTTATTAGGTATAACAAAAGAAAACCACAACACTATTAATTCACTACGAATTCTTGTGACACTACAATAGAAAAAAATAGAGCATTCCTAAAAATGAATGTGTGTCACTGAGTTCTTGATATCCAACGTTAAAATACTATGAATCTAAGAAAATCTATTAATCTTCACCCTCCTTTTTGTTGCCAAAAACCTAACCTCCTCTTTAGGTTTACAACCCTAGGGATTTTGGAGAGAGTCTAGAGAATAATCAAATTCCTTTTTTATATGGGTTAGAAGCACCTATGGCTTACATTTTCTGGGCTTTTGGTACAAAATACTGTAATATGTTTTCCACTTTGTCATGGTTTGTTAAATGCTATTACAAAAGTCTTTACTATCTTATGAGAAAGAATCATCATAGTATATCCTAACTATTCATCATTTTCGGAAAACTTCATACAATAAGGGTAATAACAATAACGTTAGACAATAATGTGTTCTGGATTCGCATCAACCGCTTCATTTCTCTGCACTACTACTGCAACTACACTTTGGAACGAGCACTCAGCATCACTGTCAGGCTGACGGACGGACAATTCAATTTTTGACGTTTCAAAACTGCTAAATTAAGGATTAATTGAAATAAATGCTTTGACTTTGACTGCATTTCCGTATAGTTGACTGTCAGAGCCAGATAAGGCATTAAGTCCGCCATTTACTAATTAATTCAATTTTCGTGAGGAAGTTATAAATAAATAAGGTTTTATTAAAAGTACTTTAGTAAGTACTAAAACTAGCAAAATAATCAAAACATAATCTTAGATTCCCTACTTGTACAGCAACTTTAAAAAGTCCCATTAATTCGCCCAACTATCTACTCCAACCTTGCAACTGAACAAGGCACCAGTTACCCATGTTTTGGCAACGTAAAACCAAAGTTGAACTTTAATAGCAGTAGCCTTCAAACAAAAAGCTTGTCAAGGTTGTGGAGGCCTTGACAAACCCGCAGCGAGTCATTAGTTCATAGCTCTATGAAAACGGACGTAACAAAGTAATATAAATGTGAAACTTTTATAGAGGCTGTTCCGTGTCCCATACGACGAGTATTTGCCTCTGTTTTTTTAAGGGGGGAAACTCATCGAATGACTGCTCCTGCCTGGGTGAGGCGGGAGGGAGTGTCAGACTCTTACTGACTAAAAACCACCCCGTTCCTTCTCCTGCACGTCGAGCATGAGCCCCGGTAACCTCTTAGGTTCTCCGCGACAGTATTTGGTTCTAAGCTCGTCTTCTATTGCATAGCACTTACAATTTAACTTTAAGCTAAATACAAGCAAAATTTTTATCGTCTAGACCGGAAAAAACTAATGTACGAAAACAGATACAAAACTATGTTTTATATTACCTCTTTTAAAAGAAATAACGAATGAAATCACACGACAAACGCCACTCAAAGTAACTCCTACATAATGTTCCAAGAAAGACTAAATAGTATATTGGAAGGTTCTATTGTTGCGAAGTAAAACGAACTATAACTCAGTATCAATATGAATCACACATAGAATAAGCATAACAAACCTGAGTGTCAAGCTTGATTAATTAACGCATTCTGATTGGTTGGTTCACTGAAGCCGGCCAATCAGGGCGCCGAACACGCTCGATATTATTACGTCACGAATGCGATAGTTATCCGTGCTTGACACTCTGAAAACATACCCAAAATTTGTCAAAATCTTTCACAACAAACAGATAAGAGAAGAGAATCAAATTATTGAAAACTCTTCAAGTTAAGTCCGAATCGTAAAGTTGCACAAACTCTGAATGGGATACAATTATTAAGTTTCCGTACATTTTGTCTTAGATATTCAATTTGCATAAATACAAACCATTGTAACTTATTCAGAAATACATCTAACAATATACTTCGGTTTACTTACCAGTGTAACTTGGTTGTGTTTTACAAAGAGACAATGTTTCAAAGATGATTTTAATCTTCATATTTTTTTGCTTTCTCATTATAACATGGATTATTTAAAAATACCTTCCTAGCAATTGAAATAACCTTTAGAGAATCTCCAATCCATCAACATCCCCTAGCAGGCCAATGCTGGACTATGCGTCTTCCGAGGAAACGGAGAAAAACAGAGTCTTCTCTACATGAGACCTAATTCTTCTGTCATTATCATTTGCATTATATCTTCTCTCTTCTATCAAATAAATAAATCAAGATTCGCGATACTCACCAACCATCATATCGGGGACGTCGTGAGGCGCCATGGTGGTGCTGTACTGTTCCTGTCTTTTAGAATCTCCCTCGGGGTCTGTCACACCCGCCTCTTCTGCAAGAGCAAGAAAAATAGGTTCAGAATATGGAATAGTTTCATCAGTGTCATACACTTGTGTCTGCAACTCGTCAATGGGGTCATTTCTTTTAATCTTCTTTTGAACTAATTGTTGTGTTGTGTGATTTATCATTAATATTGGTTTTTCTGTCGCATATTCTTCTGACGCTATTACTGTTATGCACATTTTTAGGATAACTATTACATTTGTTGCAATTATATTCTTCGTCATCGTGTTAAAGAATAAACGTTTCTGACAATGTCAAATTTTAACTTTTTTATTAATTTATCGAAGGGTTTTTGTTCGTATTAACATTTTTATTATTAAAAAGGTCGGTTGTGGGAAGTAAATAATCGAATTGATGACCAAGGTAACCTGAACTGTAGAATACATTATGTATGTATGCATTTTATAATATTGTAAACATGAAAGTAAATTGGCACAGCGAACAATGTCGAGGGCTATGCTCGAAGTCTCTAAAGGATAGGATCCGTAATGAGGTGGTCCGACAGAGAACTAAAGTTACCGATGTAGCCCAAAGGATTAGCAAGCTGGAATGGCAGTGGGCCGGCCACATTTGTCGAAGAACCGATGACCGTTGGGGTAGACGTGTTCTAGAGTGGAACCGCGTCTAGGCAAACGTAGTACACTACGATTTGGCGGCCTCCAGCAAGTGACTGATAGTAGTTGGATGCTTAGAGCTGAAGATCGAGAATCAATGGCGTGCCATCGGAGAGGCATATGTCCAGTGGATGAGAAGACGCTGATGATGTTAAAAGTAAATTGCCTGTTATAAACAGGCAATTTACTTACCTTATCATTGCTGAAAGACTAGACTGATTTTGATCACTATTAATCTATAGGTCTAGAACGATAAGATCACCTCGTTATTACTTCAACACCTACTTGAAACTGTCAAACACCGAGCGGTCACCGGTGACCGCAACCTATTGTTGTTTAGTTGTGTCTATAATGACGGTACTCAACGAGTTAAATGGTATAATCAAACATTGCATGAGAAATGTAGCCCACATACATATAACAAGGAAACACAAAAATAATAATGAACCTTATCATAAAAAATAATGAATTTCCTTTAGAATATCGCTCATAGCTTTATTGTTTTTGTTTTGAGTAATTAACGAGCTGAAACAATCTCCTAATTACTTCACGATGAAACTTAGGTAATTATTTAAAGCAATCACACGTTTGACCAATACACCACGCAATGAAAATAGCCTCAGAATGAACTTTCATCGGATTCTTGACTTTATATCAAAATAATAAATTTGAAAATCGATTAACTCGTCGAGTACCGTCATTATAGACACAATTATAAAACAATAGGTTGCGGTCACCGGTGACCGCTTGGTGTTTGACAGTTTAAAGATGGAAAGATTTACATGTTTACTGGCGTCTTTACTCTGTCTGCAGCATTATTATCTTGAACGGAAATTATAAAATAGTTTTATTAAGTTAAAACGTGTAGCTGACTAGTAAACTATGAAGATACTATCTACGTTGATGTTTCAACGTTTTATGATTAACAGCTGCTATCCTTACTTCCTTACTTATATTATAAATCGGTAAGTGAATTTTTATAGATGGCGCTGTATATGTCATGTAAAACCAGTCAAAGAATTACTACTTATTGGAAAAATCTAAATAGCGCGATATAACCGAATTCCACGCGAGCGGAAAGCTATATTTTGTTTGTTTGCCAGTCTTAAAAAGCAGAAAGGAGGTATTAATTACTAATTAATGAGGACTGCCTTGTTGGCCGAGTAGTCGCAAGTGCGACTGCTGGACAAGGGGTCTCGGGTTCGATTCCCGGGTCGGGCAAAGTATTACTGGGTTTTTAAATATCTCAGTAGTAGCACGAAGTCTGGAAATGTACCCGGTATATGGCAATAGGCTCACCCCCTATTACATGGGACTCATAACATAATTAGTGAAAAGTGGGTGTTACATTGTACAGTGGCATTAAGTGCCGTAATGTGCACCTCTGCCTACCCCTTCGGGGATAAAAGGCGTGATGTTATGTTATGTTATGTTTAATTTACTCTTGAAAAAATATCTCGTCACCTTATGAGTTTATTTTAATTCTAATGAAATACGCATAATATGAAACATTATTTTAATTTTTTTTTAGTGCCAATACTATTATTATAAAAATGTACAATACATAGGTAACGTATACCTATGGTGTACGTTCTTTCATCATAATATTTGTACATTTTTTCTTTGACAATGTCCTTACTTCATAAGCACTTGTGTTGTGTTGTCCAGCGTGATAGTGACGGGCAATAGTTGTGGCGAGATTCACTTCTACGACTACCAGCTGCGGCTGCTGTACTGGGTGCATGGGTTCACGGTGGATCGCGTGAAGGCACTCAGCTTCAACATCTCCCCCAGGAGCTCCATGATACTCGATCCTAAATGTAAGACGTCTGTTTGTCTGTTCACGATATAGTTACTCAAAATCTCTCGTATGGAAAGGGTTTTCACCAAAGAACATTATATTATGATACTATAGTAAAGTACTGTTATAATTAACTTTTATCGTAGGTAACAAGATCTGTCCCTGTTGGGAGAAA